ACATCAAGAGCATCATCCATGAAGAAAGCAAGAGGTCATTAAAAATACAAGAAAGAAAGAAAAGACCAAAATGAATGTCAGAAGAGACTCTGAAATTTGTCCTTGTGTGAAAAGTAGCTAAAGCAAATGGAAGAAATGACAAGATAAAAAAGCTGAACAGAAGATTTCAAAGAGCAGCTCAAGCAGACAAAGCCAATTACCATAATGAAATGTGCAAAGACCTGGAGTTAGAAAACTAAAAGGGAAGAACATGCTTGGCACTTCTCAAGCTGAAAGAATTGAGGAAAAAATTTAAGCCTCAAGTTGCAATACTGAAAGATTCTATGGGCAAAATATAGAATGATGCAGGAAGCATCAAAAGGAGATGGAAGGAATACATAGAGTCACTGCACCAAAAAGAACTGGTTGACCTTCCTCAATTTCATGAGGTGGCATATGTTCAAGAACCAATAGAATTGAAGGAACAAGTCAAAGCTGCACTGAAAGAAATGGAGAAGAACAAGGCTCCAGGAATTGATGGAATACCCATTGAAATGTTTCAACAAACAGATGCCCCGCTGGAGGCACTCACTTGGTTATGCCAAGACATTTGGAAGACAGCTATCTAGCCAACTGTACCCATTCCAAAGAAAGGTGATTCCACAGAATGTGGAAATTATTGAACAATATCATTAATATCAGGAGCTCTGGTAGCATAGTGCCAAAGGCACTTGACTACTAACCAGAAGCCTGGCGATTCAAACCCACCAGCCACTCCTCGGAAGGAAGATGGGGCAATCTACTTCCATAGTGATACTGCCTCGGAAACCCAAGGAGGGGTCACTATGAGTCGGGTCTGACTCGACAGCACACAACAACAACCATCATTAATATCACATGCAAGTAAAATCTTACTGAAGATAACTCAAAGATGGTTGCAGCAGTATATTGACAGAAAACTTCCAGAAATGTAAGCTGGATTCAGAAGAGGACGTGGAATGAGGGATATCATTGTTGATGTCAGATGGATCTTGGCTCAAAGCAAAGAATACCAGAAAGATGTTTACTTGTGTTTTATTGACTATGCAAAAACACTTCATTGTGCGGATTATAACAAATTGTGGATAACATTGAGAAGAATGGGAATTCCAGAACAAGAACACTTAATTGTATTCATGAGGAACCTGTACATAGACCAGGAGGCTGTCGTTCAAATAGAAAAAGGGAACACTACATGGTTTAAAATCAAGAAGGGAGTGCGTCAGGGTTGTATCCTTTCACCATACTTATTCAATCTGTATGCTGAGCAAATAATCCGAGAATCAGGACTATATGAAGAAGAATGTGGCATTAGGATTGGAGGAAGAATCGTTAACAACCTGCGATATGCTGACGACACAACTTTGCTTGCTGAAAGTGAGGATGACTTGAAGTACTTTTTGATGAAGATTGAAGAATACAGTCTGCAATATGGATTACATCTCAATATAAGAAAAACAAAAATCCTCACAACTGGTCCTATAAGCAACATTATGATAAATGGAGAAAAGATTGAAATTATCAAAGATTTCACATTACTTGGTTCTACAATCGACACCAATGGAAGCAGCAGTCAGGACATCAGATGATGTATAGCACTAGGCAAATTGGCTGCAAAGGACCTCTTTCAAGTGCTGAAGAGCAAAGATTTCTCCTTGTAGACTAAGGTGCACCTGACACAAGCCATGGTATTTTCAATCACCTCATATGCATGTGAGAGCTGGACAATGAATAAGGAAGACTGAAGAAGAATTGATGCTTTTGAGCTGTGGTGTTGGCAAAGAATGCTGAAAGTACCATGGACTGCTAAAAGAACTAACAAGTCTGTCCTGGAGGAAGTGCACCTGAAATGCTCCTTGAAGGCGAGAATGGCCAGACTTCATCTCACATACTTTGGTCATGTCATCAGAAGGGACCATTCCCTGGAGAAGGATGTTATGTTTGGTAAGGTGGAGGGTTGATGAAAGAGGAGAAGGCCCTCAATGAGATGGATTGACACAGTGGCAGCAGTGATGGGCTCAAGTATAGCAAGAATCATGGAGCTGGCTTAGGACTGGGCGGTGTTTTGTTCTGCCGTGTGTAGGGTTGCTATGAGTCGGAGATGACTCGATGGCACCTAACAACAACAACAACTTTCCATCTCCCCTATACAGATGATAAACTACTAAAGGGTTATTATAACATCAAACATTCCGCAAATTTTTTAAAACAGGAAATGAGAGAAAGGATGAAATGTAGCTTGGGGAATAATCAATATAAAAGTGCTAATTAAGAAAGCTGCTGAATTACGCAAAGGAATGTTTAAGCAGTCCAAAGCCAGAGTACAGAGTATACTTAATACAACACAGAGAACCCTTTTTAAAGGTGGGGTGAGGGATGGGGGAAACATCAAATATTATATACTTAGAAGCAAAAAAACCTTTTAATTTAGTATCTCTCACAGAAATTCTTTGGTTTCTGAAGGTGTTTTATTTTTTCCATCAACTCTTAAAGAAAAAGTCTTTTCTTTCTTTGTAAAGGAAGCACAGTTAGACTTTGTTTCCCTGGACTCACCGAAGCAAGATAGTTGCCCTCCCAGGCCCTCTGGAGCCCAAGATCAGCTCTTTGACCCTTCAACATTTCCATGGCTGCAACCTTTGCCCTGACCTGGGGCAGGTCTGTAGCAGGTATGCTCTTGATGAGCTGGGATGCTCTCCATCTACAAGTAAATAAACAAACGTATCACACTTTAGAAACACAATCCTATTCATTCTTGAAAATAACTCACGCTGCCATCAAGTAGACTTAAACCAAAGTACCTCCCTACCTGTCCTATAAAAAGGAAACTGACTCCAAAATACACACAGAACTTGTTAAGACAGGCACAGTTTTATATGGACAGATTTTTTTAAATACATTTTATTGAAATATAATTTATGTACAGTGAAATACACAAAACTAAAGTGACATGTTGTTGTCATTGTTATGTGCTGTCGAGTCAGACCTGACTCATGGCAACCCCTCCTTGGGTTTCTGAGGCAGTATCACTATGGAAGTAGATTGCTCCATCTTCCTTCCGAGGAGTGGCTGATGGGTTTGAACTGCCAGGCTTCTGGTTACCAGTCAAGTGCCTTAGGCACTACGCCACCAGAGCTCCTGCAATTATCATCAGAGAGATGCAATCAAAACAGTCATCATCAGAGAGATGCAAATCAAAACAGTGAGATACCATCTCACCTTAGCACTAATGGCAAAATTCAACAAGACAGAAAATGACAAGGGTGTGGAGAGATTGGGACTCTCATACATTGCTGTAGGACTTTAGAAAAATGATACAAGCACAGTGGAAAACAGTAGGTGATTGTTTAAAAAGCTGGAATTAGAAGTACCATTTGACCCAGCAATCCCATTACTAGGTACATATCCTAAAGAAGTGAGAGCCAGGACAAGAACAGATAGATGCCCACCCATGTTCATCACAGCACAAAAAAATGGAAACAAACTACCTGCCCATTAACAGAAGAATGGATGACCAAACTTCCAAGCCACTGCTTGGAAGGAAGATGGGGCAATCTACTCTGTAGTTATACTGCCTTGGAAACCCAAGCAGGGGTCGCTATGAGTCGGGTCCGACTTGATGGCAAATAACAATAACAACGATGATGATTGTGAGCATTTCTTCATGTATTTGCTGACCATATGGACAGATATTTTTATAAAACTTGCTTTGTTGTTTGTGTGTTTTGAAAACAGCTAGAAATTAGTGATATATGAGCTCTCATAATATTTATGTGTAGGGTACAGGAACTTTGGATTCATCATCCATTCATTCAATAAGTATTCCCTGAGTACCTATTACACTCCAAACACTGTTCCAGGTAGTAGAGGTACAGAAGTAAGCATAACTGACAATGGTCCTATGTGCTTGGAGCTTATATTCTAGAGTGAGAAGAAAGGCCATAAACAGGCAAATGAGTAAATATATAGTGTAAATGATGGTACTAAGTGCCATGGAGAAAACAAGGCCAGGAAAGGAGGACAGGCAGTGCAGTAGAGGTATGGAATGGAGTGTAATTTATGTAAGGTCGCCTGGGTAGGCACCACTAATAAAGGGATATATGGGCAGAGACCTAAAGGAATCAAGGGAGCCAGTTACATGGATATCTAGGCAAGAATATTCCAGGAAGAGCACACAGCAAGCACAAAAGCCTAAAGATGTAACGACATGGACTTGCTTGGTGTTTTAGAGGATCAGTGAGGAATCCTGTGAAACTGGAGCTAAATGATCATGGAGGAGCGGTCAGAGGGAGAGCCAGGGCTAGGATCCAAGGCGCTGTGGAGGTCATTATCAAGACTTTGGCTTTTACTCTTAATGAGATGGAAAGGCACTGGAAAGTTCTGAACAAGAAGGGACAGGATCTGTCTTATGTTTTAAAAGGATCATTGTGATTGTGGTGTGGAGAATAGACTAAAAGTGGGGTTAGGCTGGTTACCGGAAGACACAGTGTACACGGTGGAAGTTGTGGCTTGGACCAGGAAGGTGGTCATGGAGGAGGAAATAAGTACTAGTTCTGGATATGTTTTGAAGGAAAACAACAGGATTTGTTGATGGATTAGATGTGGGGGCAAGAGAGTAAGAGAGGACTTAAGGATGATTTCAAGGTTTTTTGGCCTAAGCAACCAGAAGCACAAAGTGAAAATAACCTGATTGTGAAAAACAAGTACAAGGTCTTTTATTGTCTTAGACGCATCCTAACCCTACAGTGCACTTACAGCTTCTTTTCTGGCACAGGAGTTGGAGCAAGGATCTGAGAAGAAAACAGAGAACTTCCTTATAGTTGTTAGATGGAATCACCTAGGCTACTGGTTCTCACACTATGCTCCTATGGAACACTGGGATGGGCTTCAGCCAACATTGGAAAGTGGTGATCCTTTCCTAGTTCACATACACAAAAAGTTAGAGAGTGCCTTCTTATTGGAGATTTACCTGAGATGTATTCTTGTTTCAGATGGTGACCGGAGACCAAATGTTTGCTCTTCTCTCTCCCAAAGTCCCATTGAAATAATCCAACAAATATAAAAATAAAGAAAATCTACAACCACACAGAATAAAGGAATGATGGTGTCAATAAACTGGAAGATATGGTGACTTTCTGGAAGACATCACACTGATGGGAAGCAGCTCAGTACTGAGCATTTCACTTGATGGAAAGAGAGGAACCCCTGTGGGTTTTTCAATGAAGCCCAGAGGATCCTTAAGCCTGAAACAGCAGGGGTGGGCAGCAAGGGCAGGATGTAAAGGACTTCAAAGTGGGAGCTGTGCCAGTTCCCTGCAAGTGGAAGGCTGGCCATTGTTTGCTCCATTAAGTGCAATGGGAACATTTATTACAGCAGATAGGGTCAGAGATAGTGGGTTGCTAAAGCAATAGCCAGGGAAAAATAAAGGTTCAACATAACAGTGAAATGCTCTTCCCTACGTTCAATGGGCAACCAACACTGCAGAAGGACAGACGGCCTTAAGATCATCCCAGAAGAGGCTAGAAGAGTGAGAGGCTGGGAGCAGTTGGTGAATGAAGTCAAGGACATGGGTGACAGGCAACAGTGCCTCAATTAACTCTTCAGCCCCAAATATTATTCTTGGGTGGGGGTCCTTGCTCTCTGACTGTTGGTCAGTTCCTGGTCTATATGCCTTGTCATCTCATCCCTGACCTCATCTTGTTCACTGTCCTCAGTGGTCTAGGACAAGGTCCACACTTGGCTCCAACACAACGCACTGCGATTGAGTCAGATGCGACTCACAGCGATCCCTCCTTTGGTTTCTGAGGTGATATCACTACGCAAGTAGATTGCCCAACCTTCCTTCTGAGGAGTGGCTGGTGGGTTTGACCCACCAGCCTTCTGGTTAGCAGTCAAATGCCTTAGGCCCTACGCCACGAGAGCTCCCAGAGATCCACAATCAGAGGTGTGCCAGGGATCAGGACTTAACCTGAACAGCAGAGAGGTACACAGACTTCTCACACTAATCAAGCAAAGTGCCATCTGTAAATATGTAGAGCAGACAACAATAGCTGCAACCATAAAAATCACCAGTCCCCACCAACCTGGAGAGGTGGGCAAAACTGAGCGCAAAGGCTCCCAACGAAAACAACTACTGTGCGGAATATGAATGAGTTTAAACATGATTAGACACATAGAGAGTTTAGAAAAACAAAAAGTACATAATCACAGTGGAACCCTTTAACACACCTCTCTCAGTATTTCACAGATTCAAAAAAAAAAAAAAGCAATAATAAATTAAATAGGATACAGACACTAGATCAGGTTGTTATCTACAGCCTGAGCCAAATCTGGCCCATGGCCTATTTTTGTACTGCGTGTGAGCTAAGAATGTTTTTTTTTTTTTTTATATTTGCAAAAAACCAAACCAAAACACAATGAATATGCAACAGAGACCATATGTAGCCCACAAAACCTAAAATATTTTCTATCTGGCCCTTCACAGAAAAGTTTCCCAACCCCTGACCTAGATGATCACAACTGGCAAGACTCATTAAGAAGGTGTGTGGATATGTTCAATCAACAAGCAGAGCTGATGTGCTATTTTCAACTGCTCAGTGACTGTAAGCCCTGGGAAGGCTGGGCTTGTCTTTGTACGTATCCCTGTAAACTAGTCAATGCCTATGACTTAGCAGCCATTAAGTAAATACTTGCTGAAGAAATAAACTGATGTTTATAAAAATCAGTCAATTCTAGGCCACAAATCAAACCTAAAAGGAAGACGGTGCAGGTCATGTTGTTGTTGTTGTTATATGTGCTGCTGAGTCAGACCTGACGCATAGCGACCCCTCCTTGGGTTTCTGAGGTATCACTACGGAAGGAGATTGTCCAACCTTCCTTCTGAGGAGTGGCTGATGGGTTTGAACCACCAGCCCACCAGCCTTCTGGTTAGTAGTCAAGTGCCTGAGGCACTACGCCACCAGTGCTCCTGTGCAGGTCATAGTACAGTGTAACTGAAATTAATGTCAATCCTTGGCAGCTATGAAAGGTATTAGGTAGATCTTCATTTACTGTCATGGATAAGTCTCTAAGACATATATTTAAGTCATATAACTTTACATACAGCATATTTTTGCTTGTGTGAAAATAAAAAAAGAGAGAAAGGGAAAAATAGCCCAAATGATATGTCAGTGCATATGCACGCAACTCATCAGTATGAGCAAACATCTCCATAGTGCATACTATGTGTCAGGCCCTAAATGAAATGCTTCATGTACATGTACTCAGACTCTTTCTCAGCAAGTACTATTGTTACGGCCCTTTAACAGATAAGGAAACTGAGGCACAGAGAGACTAATTTGCTCAAAGTCACACAGCTAGTCAGTGGCAGAGCTGGGGTGTGAAGCAGGGTCTATGTTCTCAAACACTGTATCATGCTGTCTCTTACATGTGTGCATGTGTTTATAAATGCACAGAAAAAGGTTTAGAAGGATACCTACTAATTGCTAACAAGTGGTTATCTCAAAGGAAAAAAATTAAATTGGGGAGAACCAAGGGGAGCTACGGAGGATTTAAATTTTATATCCTACATATTTTCACCTTATTTTCCTTTTTTTAAAAAATGAGCATGTATTCATGTATAGCATAATTACTTTTGAAATTATGTCAAAAAATACAGATAAAGATGATAGCATTCATGAAAAAAATCTACACATGCGTTAAAAAGCCTGGAAAGATGTATAGGTAGCATGTAGTGTACTATGTCTGAGAACTGAGGTACTTTTCCTTTCAATAATTCTGTATTGTTCAATTTTCTTTTTTTTACGAGCAATCCTTTTCTTCAGGCAAATGAGATACATATGTAAAGTTTTCCTCTCATATATTTTTCTCAGTCCTTTGATAGTTGCTACAAATTATAAAAAGTGAAATATAAAGGCAGATAAAATCTGATTTAGCATAGAACTGTAAATCAATTATTTGACATTCAATATATCAACTATTTCATGGTGTTCTTCATGGAATATCATGATACCAAATGGCCACACTTGAAGACAACCAGCTTAGTTTATGTGACTGGCTAGATGGCTGTATCCAACACCCACCCACCCATTCCCGTTGATTCCAACTCATAGCGACCCAATTGGGTTTCCAAGGCTGTAAATCTTTATGGAAGTAGATTGCCTCATTTTCCTCCTGTGGAGCAGCTGATGGGTTTGAGCCACTGCCTTTCTGGTTAGCAGCCAAATGCCTTACCCACTACACCACCAGAGCTCCTTGCTTTCAAGACAGAGCTAAATATATCTGGTGTATAACTCACTCTCCACTGCTGATGAGTTGATTTCCAACTCATAGTGACCTTAAAGGACAGAGTAAAACTGCCCCATAGGGTTTCCAAGGCTGTAAATCTGTATGGAAGCAGACTGTCTTGTCTTTCTCCCATGGAGTGGCTGGTGGGTTTGACCCTCTGATCTTTGAGCCAGCAGCCGAGTACTTTAACCACTGTGCCATGAGGACTCCTTTTTTCTGGTGCACACTGGACACAGATGAGCTCAAAAAATGAGGAGAAAGGATCTGAGAATAACTACAAACTCAGATTCAGGGTAGGTTATTAAAAAATGATCAGTTGGAAAGGTACCACTTTTACTTGGGCACTTATTTATTTTAAAAATAGCTTGCTCATAAAATTAAAAAAAATAAACAACCTCGCTCCAAAATAGTTGTTTTCACATTAGCATGCAATTTATAATCACCGGGAAACTTTTAAAAAAAGTACCTCTGCTGGCCCTCGTCCCAGCTCAATTAAACAGGAATCTCCAGGAGGTGGGACCTGGACCTGGGCATAAAAAACTTAAAAAACCAAACTCATTGCCATCAACTCGATTCTGACTCATAGCAACCCCCACAGGGTTCCCAAGGCTGTGAATCCTTATGGAAGCAGACTGCCTCATCTTCCTCCTGCAGAGTTGCTAGTGAGTTGGAACAACTGACCTTTTGGTTAGCAGCCCAATGCCTTAATGACAGCACCCTCAGAGCTCCGTGGACCTGGGCACAGCTAGGCTTTATGTACGCCTCATGATTATCAGGTATAGTCAGGATTGAGAACCACTGCTCTAATAGCAATAACTGATTTCCTAGTTTAAGTTATTATTAATATAAATTATTTTAATAAATAACAATTTTTTTTTTTTTTTTTTTTTCCCAAAAAAAAAAAACAGAACCCGTATGCTAGCTGCTTATCTTAAATGTGGCTTGGATTCAGGGATTGTGGTATACTGCTGTCAACCGTGACAGGAAAACAAATTGACAGCTCCATTATTTTGGGAGGCAAGCAGATGCCCTCAAAGTGAAATCGACAAAACTGGAGACATAAGGTGAAAGTAAATGTCATAACAGCAAAGAGCTGAGCCAATATCACGGTTTCAGATCTATGACTTTACATATCAAGTATGTTGCCATGAATGGAAGCAGTGCACACCAACAGGTTCTTACCTATTAAAAATTGCCTGCAGGGCCTCCTCGAAATGGCGAAGAACTTTAGGAGGGGTTGGCCATTTCACGTGCTTCCCGTAGTCCCTCATGGTCTTGACACCGTGAAAGCGTCTGGCCACCTCACGGATGTATGACTTCACTTTGTAGCGTCGGTAGTACCTGATTATTGTCAGAGCTGCCCTGGTCCTCTTGTACCGCATACGAGCCAGGGTGCCCCGCCACACCTTCACAATTGAGAGAAAAAAAGGAAAATGTTGTGGCTGATTGGCTAAGCGGTAGATGACTATGAAATTATAGAAACTCCTCTACTTACAAACTCAACTGGGGAACTTTTCATGCGTGAACGAAATCAGCCAGAGCCAAAGCATGGTATTCTGCCTGTCACCCACAGATAGTGCTAAGAGTCAGGTTGGTCCTTTTTGTTTCAATTGTCTGGCTGTTCATTACTCCACACTGGGGTGTGTGTGTGCTGAGTTTGAAGCACAGCCCTTGTTTTAACTTTATTATGATGAACAGAAGAAAGTAAAAATGCAAATATCACTCAATAAATATGTTAAGAGTTGAAATGGCAAGCAAAATGAGTCGGAACCAAATGTTATTAACATTTCTAGTTCTGCTGTGACGCTCAACTTTATATAGATCATATGCACTGGCCACTACTGTAATGTCACTTTGGATTTGCAAACTAATTCATACACAGGCTGTGCACCCCTAACTGCCACACCAAGCACTACATAAGTTTCTAAGAATTTAGATGCATTCTTAGAGAAAGGGTAAAACAGATTACTGATATATGAATGTTAAAAAATCTTTTTTTTCCTCACTTCACTGTTCAGAAATCAATCAGATAATAAAGAAATCTCTCAAATCCATCTTCATCCCAGCATGGTGAGGTCTGAGATATTTATATATATATTTCCAGGCTCCCTTGTCCAAGTATCTGTTTGTCTCAATCTCTCAAGTAAAAACAAATTTGGTGTCATTTTCAATTCATCATTGGCTCTTTCCCTATTTTTCTTCTCTACCATGAAACTTACTCATTCTTCCACAATATTTCCAGTACAAACCTTTTTCTTTTCCCTTCTGCTAGCACAGCCTCCAAGACCCCAAACTATTCCATTTGCCTTCTTGGATAAACTCCATGTACATACCCCACCATGTTCCAGATGAGATTTAATGATGCAACTTAAGTAACCTTTCCCTTTCTTAAGCTGGTCCTATTACTTCTCTCCCTAATCCCTGGTCTTTCAGCACCAGGATTTGCAACCTCTAGTTTGACGTCCACGGTACATACTCTCCAACATCCTTCAGGTTTCTTGGATTTCTTTTTAAATGCCCTGACTGGGCCCACCGATCTCTTGGAAGAACTTGCGTTCTCCCAGTGCCCCTTGCATCATTTTAGGTCTGTCTGCATGCCGACTCTTCACCTTGCAGCATGTGCTGGTAATGCTCTCCTTTTTCAGCCTCCTGCACCATAAAGATAGATTTGTTTGCACACTACATGTCAGGAGCTCATCAAAGGCTCCCAAAGGGGAAAAACAACTCCACAACATAAAAGGCAACTGTGACATCCAAGCAATTTGTGATGGAAATCTACAATTTGTATGTAAACAAAATATAGAAAGACAACAAGGGAATGAAAACGAACGAGTTATTTCCTGTGGCATCAGTATAGCAGCCATTTTTAGTCAAAATGGCTTTCTTCCTTGTAGTCTAATCTGTTGTACAGATGGCTTTGTTCCACCTATACCCAAATGCTAAAATAAAGGCCTCTCCTTAGTATCTTGGAAAACCAAAAGAATACAGTTATAGGGGAGAAGTATGTGATTCAATTTCTTAAAAAAAATATGCATTTTTTAAGTTTCATAGTGTTTCCTGCCTTTTTTTTTTTTTTTTTAAAGAAGGTGGAAATGAAGACTCCCCGCAGCCACATCTACACAGGAAATCAATCTGTACTTTCCAGAAAGAGTTTTATAGAGCTTTTTATTAAAATGTTCTTGGTCAGATCTTTCAGTAATTTGAAAAAAAATTTTCTTTAGTAAGTTTTATAAGAGCATTTTGAGGGGTATTTCTTTGACGACCTTTCAAAGTTCACCTGTGTTGTTGGTTTATTTAAGTTTTGTATAGTGGAAAGCTCAGGTAGGACAAAAAGGCTCAAAATAAAAACAGCGGCCCTTCCCCTGGCCCGTCATAACCCACCTCCCCACCTCTCAGTCCCATTCCATGAAGGCAAACTAGGGTAGTTCCTTCTAGTGTCTGTTGATAAATAACATACAATACTGTTATTTTTTTTCAATTTTTTAAAAATAATTTATTTTATTTTTGTTCTTGTTGAGAATATACACAACAGGACACACACCAATTCAACAACTTCTACACGTACCATTCAGTGACAATGATTACTTTCTTAGAGCTGTGCAACCATCCTCATCCTCCCTTTCTGCTTGCTCCTCCCCATTAACATACAATACTATTTCTTGAGTTATCCTTTTAGCTATTATCCAAATTATGGAAGGTAAAGATTTAGCTCTCTATCATCTCTCCTACTTCCCTATCATCCCAACAATAGTTACATCAAAACAATTTCTTTTTAACTTCTTATTGTGAAGCTCTGGTGGTGCAGTGCCTAAGGCATTTGACCGCTAATCAGAAGATTGGCAGTTCAAACCCATCAGCTGCTCAGTGGAAGGAAGATAGGGCAATATACTTCCATAAAGATTTACCACCAACCCAATGGGGGTGGCTATGAGTCAGAATTGAATAGAAGGCAGTTCTTTTTTAGTTATTGTGATTTGGGGAAAAGTTCAGAGATTAATTTGGTTTTCCATTCAACAGTTCATACACATTTTGTTTCGTGACATTGATTGCAATCCCCACAACATAATAGCACTCTTGCTACTTCTTCCCTGTGTTTACTGTTTCCATGTGTCTTTCTCTCCTACCCCTTCCTGCTTTCTGAGCTTTATCCCTGGGCAAATGCTACCCTTTTGATCTTACATGGTTGATTGTTCTAAAGGGTGTGTACGTCCCTGGTGCTACGTTCACTCTATAGGCCTACTGTTTGGCTGACAATTGAGCAACAGGAGTGAGTTCAGTGTTAGCATGAAAAGTATCTGAGGGTCATGGTCTCAAGGGTTCCACCAGTCTCAGACCAGTAAGCCTGGTCTTTTCTATGAGTTTGAGTTTTGTGCCACATTTTTCTTCCTCTCTATCCAGGACTGTCCATTGTGTTCTCTTTCAGAGCAGTCAGCACTGGTAGCTGAGCACTATCTAGTTCTTCTGGTCTCAGCGTATGGAGGCTAAAGTTCACTTGGTCCATTAGTCCTTTGGACTAATTTTTTCCATGTGCCTTTGGTTTTCTTTACTCTTCTTTGCTTCAGGCAGAGACCAAAAGTTGAAACTGAGACAGCCATCGCAAGCTTTTAAGACCCCAGTTGCTACTCACCAGAGGAGGATGTAGAACATTGTCTTTGGGACTGTAACAGTTGACCTTGATAGTTATATCAAACATTTTGACTCAATGTTATTATGTTGATGTAAATACGGTTCCTGGGGCAGTGGTAGTTCAGTGGTAGAATTACCTCCTTCCATCTGGGAGATTCAGGTGTAAATCCCTGAGGCTTATGTGCTGCTATGATGCTGAGCAGATTTCAGCTAAGCTTCCAGACTAAGACGTCAGAGTAGGAAGAAAGACCTGGTGATTGACTTCCAAACAGTAGCCAAGGAAAACCTTATCGATAACAACAGTCTGATCCACAACCGATCACGTGGCTGGCCCAGGACTGCGCAGTTTTTCATTTTGTTGTGTATGGGGTCACCATGGGTCAGGGGCTGATTGCTGTGCTAAGGAGTATAACATGATCACCCTTGTCATGTAGATTTTGTTTTCACCTGTACTTAATAACTTTCATTTTTTAAAAACTTGCTTTGTTTTCTATCTGCTAATTTTTGTTAAATGTTCTAATAGATCAAATGATTAACAATATTTTTTCCAATTGTTAAGCACAGAAATGGACTCTTTGTTATATGCTCATACTCCAACCTGGATTGGTGGCTCTTCAGGCCCATGAATAGTTCCTATCTGGGATGTTTTCTTCTTTTTTTAATCATTCTTTTGTGTTGGAGCCTTGATTCTTGAGTTTTGCTTTTCTTGGTTTTCCTCCCCTTAGTAGCTTCCAAGAATGTGCATGGCTAGTAAATTTCTATTCCCTTTGATTTCATTAAGAGTGCAAGGCACTTGCCTAAAATGTTGTCTCTTTCTTGGGGTTACAAAAACAGTAGTTGAGAGCAGGCTTTCAAATCAGACTAGCTCAAAACCCAAATCTGTTGCTGTTGAGTCAGTTCCACCTGCCTGTATTCAAATCCCAATCTCATTCTTAGGAGCTAGGTCAACTTGGGCAAGCCTCTTAGCCCCTCTTCATCTTATTTTTCTTATCTGTAAAATGTGGATGATGATGGTGATTATTTCATAAGGTTGTTGTGCAAACACTTAACAGTGCCTGGCAGGGTAGTCAGTGTTCAATAAGCATTAGTTATTAGGTTTACTTGAAAGCCTCTATTTCTCTGGTGGCACAATGGTTAAAGTGCTTGGCTGCTAACCCAAAACTCAGTAGTTTGAACCCACCAGCCATTCTGTGGGAGAAGGATTTAACATGCTGCTTCCACAAAGATTTACAGTCTTAGAAACCCTACGGGGCAGTTCTACTTTGTCATACAGAATCACTATGAGTCAGAATCAACTCATTGGCAGTGGGGTTTGGTTTTTGTTTAGGCTGTGGTACTTTTTTCTTTTTTTTTTTGTCTCAGTCCCACATCATTGTGACCTGGTGACTCTTTAATGAATGTAAGCCTCCCCCCCCCCCCGCAGCCTATTATTTATTCCAATTCATGAGTAATTGGATACTATTGGATTCTTTCACCTACAATATTGTTTATAAGCCAGACCCAATCTTTCAGCTGCCTCAGAGGAGTGGGAACGGGGGCTTTGGGTAGCTGGCGTTGAGTTCTTTCTCTAATTTTAATGAAATGAACGCATCAAAGGTTTGCTTCCCAGCATCTGGGGTACAGTGTGGGCGTCTGGCTTGGTATGGGGCTGAGCACTCTTTTCCTGTGTCTTGTGGAGCCTTTTCTTAGCTTGGATGAAATAATTACTCCTAGCAGATGCTTCCCCCATTCCTTGCCCATTTATTGATTTGCCAGAGGCAAGAAAGGACAACTTGACTGT